CTGGCCCAGGTTGTCGGCGGGTGCACACAAATGCCCCGGCAGGCACCATGGCGCCCGCAGGCACCACGTTGGGGACCACTGCTCTAGACCATCCCCGATAGACATTTATCTAACCTCCTCTTAAATATCTTCAGAGATGGAGATTCCACAACCACCCTGACAGTTAGGAACTTTTTCCTAATGTCCAACCTAAACCTCCCTTGCTGCATTTTAAACCCATTGCTTCTTGTTCTATCCTCAGAGGCCAGGAAGAATAAGTTTTCTCCCTCCTCCTTGTAACATCCTTTTAGATACATGAAAACTCAATCTTCTCTTTTCCAATTCTTTCAGTCTTCCTTCATAGGTCATGTAATCTAGACCTTTAATCATTCTTGTTTCTCTTCTCTGGACCTTCTCCATTTTCTCCACATCTTTCTTGAAATGTGGCGCCCAGAACTGGACACAATACTCCAACTGAGGCCTAATCAGCGCAGAGTAGAGCAGAAGAATGACTACTCGTGTCTTGCTCACAACACAGCTGTTAATGCATCCTAGAATCATGTTGGCTTTTTTTGCAACAGTGTCACGCTGTTGATTCATATTTAGCTTGTGGTCCACTATAACCCCTAGATCCCTTTCTGCCGTACTCCTTCCTAGACAGTCGCTTCCCATTTGGTATGTGTGAAACTGATTGTTCCTTCCTCAGTGGAGCACTTTGCATTTGCCCTGATTACCTTAGACCATTTCTCCAATTTGTCCAGATCATTTTGAATTATGACCCTATCCTCCAAAGCAGTTGCAACCTCTCAACGCTTGGTATCATCTGCACACTTAATAAGCATATTCTGTATGCCGATATCTAAATAGTTGATGAAGATATTGAACAGAACCAGTTCCAAAACAGACCCCTGCGGAACCCCACTTGTTACTCCTTTCCAGCAGGATTGTGAACTATTAATAACTACTCTCTGGGAACAGTTATCCAGCCAGTTATGTACATTGGACAAACATCTCAGACACTTTGCCAAAGGATTAATGCCCACAAAACAGATATCAGACAAGATCACAAAGAAAAACCAGTTTCTTGCCATTTTAACCAGAAAGGACACTCTCTCAATGACTTAACCACCTGCATTCTGCTACAAAGACCTTTTACATCTGCACTTGAAAGGGAATCCTCTGAACTGTCATTCATGTTAAAATTCGACACTCTCCGGGAAGGAATGAACAAACACTCAAACTATCTTACCCATTACCAAGATAGAGGTGATAATTGGGGAAGCTAATACCATTAGCTCACAGACATCCCACTCTCCCCACCTCTAATATCATCAATTCACAGACACTTACCTTCCTTCCTCCCCCCCGCATCCCCCTCCTGTTCTGAAATGTGATTTGTCCTTTTCATATGTGTTCATTTTTTTTTAATTG